ACAGCGCCCACGCGCCCATCGCATCGCCGGCCAGTAGCAGGCACTCGGCCAAGCGGACGCCCAACGCTGGCCGCGCCCCTGGCGGTGCCACGCGCAACAGGAAGCGCAACGCGCCGGTCACCGGGGCCAGCAGCTCGCGGCCAGCGTCTCCGCGCAGCTCCAGGCGGCTTCGCACGGCCTCCCGAAAGCGAGAGAAGCCCAGGTCCGCGGCCTCCTGCACCCGGACCTGGACGCGTTCGCGGTCCTCGGCAGAAAGCAGCGCCTGGAACTGCCTCCGTGCCGCTGCTGGACTCTCGCGGAAGGCATCCTGCAGGTCCCCCAACACGTCCTGGGCCCGCCCTTCCAGGAAGAAGGCCGCAGCCGCACGGGTGACCAGCAGGGTGGCCAGGTGCTCGCCTGGGGAGAGAAACAGAGGCATCGCTCCTGATTGTTGGGCTAGTCCCCTCCCTTACCACTCGCAACCCCCACACCCCAGCACTTTGATGCTCCGAAGAAAGTACTACCGCTCATCGCATCTGAGAGTCTCGCAGCAGCCCAGGACACCAATATCCCCAGGGCAGAGCCAGCAGGAGCCCTCTCTACCCAATGGAGACAGAGCAGGATTGGAACCAGGGGCCCGCTGTCGGGCAGTGTCGGTGAACACCGTTCTCTTAGCGTGGGTGCAATGTCCATCTCACCTCAGGGTCAGCTAACTGGAAGTTTAGCTGCACACCTCTGTCTCCCTGACATTTTAATATGCATTTTAGGATCACATTCCCTTTCCAGGTCAGAGCTGCAGTTCTGACTCTGCCACGTTGTAGGAATCATTTGCTCCTCCTGTGGCATCTTGTTTCACTTCCGATGGACTGTCTTGGGATACAAGTTTCCCTCTCTGAAAGAGAGAGCTCCTCGTCAGGTCCAGGGAATAGGGGATGAACCATCCATGCTGCTTACCAAGTGGACGAGCTTGGGTGGTTTACTCAGGCTCACTGTGCCTCAGTTTTCCTTTCTCTAGGGTAATGGGGAGTACAGTGGTCTACACTCACAGGGTTGTGAGGACTGATGGATTAACATATACTCAGTGCCTGGAACAAGGTCTGCTGTGTAGTGTGACTCAGTCGGACTTGGCATCAGCAACAGTGTCACTCTCCACCATCATCATACTTTATGTCTGAGCAACTTAAACACAAGTATATGAACAGGGGCTTTCTGATTGGTAAAGAAAGCTTAGCTACCCCATCCCAAAAAGGGCCCAGGCAGGGCGTACACCAGGGAGAAATCAGGAAAAGTCAGTGCTGGCAGGAGCCTGAGGTCCTGAGTCCCCCACCCACCCTGATTTTATAGATTAGGAAAGCACTGCAGGGCAGGAGGTGCTCAGAGCCCTGGAGAGTCTCAAGTCCAGGTCTCTGAACCTCCTCTTTAGTGCTTTTTGCACCGAGTCCTTCAGAAGTTTCAAGGAGCCTTTACATGTACAGCCTCATTTTAATCGCAACAACAACAATAATCCTTTATATTCAAATAGTCCTATGTAGAGGACAAAACACCTTCACGCATGTATGGAAGCAAAACTGCCGCTGGCCCTGCTGCCGTTATGGGTAAAGCATTACATGGCAACTTAGAGCCAAGTAAAAAGTATCTTGTGCCCTGAGATAACCAACCAGCCAACAACACTTGTCACCCTATCTGTTACCTATCAGTTACTGACTCCTAAACAAAAGCAACTCTATCCCTGACTTTTGTAATAGTTCCTGAATCTTAGGATGTTGCAGTGGAAGAAGAGCTCTTGGGACCTAGGAGGAGTGGTTGTTTATTTACCCACATAGAAATCTGTTCTCTCCCCTCCTTCTAAGACTTCAATTACATATAGTAGACTTCTTGATATTGTCCCAGGCCACTGAGGCTCTCTTCATTTTACTTCTGTTCTTCATATTGGATAATTCCTACTGATCTATCTTCAAGTTCGCTCTTTCTTTTCCTGTATCTAATCTGCTATAAATTTTTCATTTCAGTTATTGCACTTTTCAATTCTAGAATTTCTATTTGGTTCTTTTTAATAGTTTCATTTAGCTGCTTAGATTCCACATCGGTTCATTCATTGTGACCATATTTTCCTTTAGTCCATGAATTGAATTATAACAGCTCCTTTAAAGTCCTTATTTTGCTAATTCCAGCATCTGGGGCATCTCGAGGTTGGTTCCTATTCTTTTTCTCCTAATTGTAGGTCACATTTTATTTCCCATTTCTTTGTATGTTTAGTAATTTTTGGTGTACTGTTGTTGTTAGATGTTGTCTAGTTGGTTCCAACAGCACGAAACACTGCCCACCATCCTCATAATTGTTGCTATGCTTGAGCCCATCATTGCAGCCAATGTGTCATTCCATCTCATTGAGGGTCTTCCTCTCTTTCACTAACCCTCTATTTTACCAAGCATGATGTCTTTCTCCAGGGACTGGTCTCTCGTGATAACATGTCCAAAGTACATGATGCTTTGTAGGGAGTCTGGATTTAGTATGTTCCTCTGGAGAGGGTTGACTTCTGTTCTAGCAGGCAGTTAAATTGGCTGGGATCAAACTCCCAATTATGTCCCTCCTATGGTAGGAAATAGCTTCCAGCTGCTTTTTCAGACCACCTAGTCTATCCCATGTATATGTAGTTCAGTGGTCAGCTAAGGACTTAAGTGGATTTAATATATAGATTTTGGGTCTGTGTGGCTCCTTTCTTTTTAGGATTTCCCCTCTAACTTTCTAGTCACTTCAGCCAACCCTGAACTCTATCCTATGGCACCCAAGCTAGTAAAACTGCAACCTTCTGTTCTACTGTGACATGGATTGGGGAGTGTGTTAGTTACCTAGTGCTGCTATAACAGGAATACCACAAGTGGATGGCTCCAACAAACAAGTTTATCCTCTAGTAGACTGTAGTCGATTTACAGTCTAGTAGGCTAGAAGTCCAAATTCAGGGTGTCAGCTCCAGGGGAAGGCTTTTTCTCTCTGTTGGCTCTGTGGGAAGGTCCTTGTCATCAGTCTTCCCCTAGACTAGGAGCTTCTCAACACAGGGATCCTTGGTCCAAAGGACGCACTCTGCTCCTGGCACTACTTTTTTGGTGGTAGGAGGTCCCCCTGTCTCTCTGCTCACTTCTCTCTTTTATAGCTCAAAAGAGATTGACTCAAAATACAACCTAATCTTGTAGATTGAGTCCTGCCTCATTAACATCCTAGAGGTAGAATTTACAACACATAGGAAAATCACATCAGATGACAAAATAGTGGCGAATCACACAATCCTGGGAATCACGGCTTAGCCAAGTTGACACACACTTTGGGGGACACAATTCAATCCGTAACAGGGAGTTTCCTCAGGTGTAAAATGCTGCAGATATGCAAATCTCACCTGTTATAGTCCTAATCTTTCAAGGGTCAATTTCTCTCTAGTTTCTGCCTGCTCCGGTCACAGTCTAGTGCCTTCAAATAGTTGCTTTTTATATTTTGTCCACATTTTATAATTGTTATCTGTGTACACTCAGTACAGTCAAGCTACTCTACCATAACCGGAAGCTGGAATCTACTATTGTTAGATTTTAAAATTTTGACAATCTAGGGGGATGTAAAATATTATTCCATTTTGTCTTAATCTTCATTTTCCTGATTACCAGCAAAGTGTATTCATTAAAAAAAAAAAAAAAACCTTTTTTTTTTTTGCCAGTCTGGTGGGTAGAAAATGGTATCTCATTGTTTTAATTTGCATTTCCCTCATTACTGATGATGTTGAGCATTTTTCAGATGTTCATTACCCATCTGTGTTTTATCTTTTGGGAAATGCTTTTGCCAATTCTTGTATTGGATTTTTCTCTTACCGATCTGTAGGAATTCTTCAAATACTCTGGGTACTAATCTTTTGCCCATTGTATATTTTGCAACTATTTTCTCTGTGTGTGCAGATTGCCCTTTCATTTTCTACAGTTTTAGGCAAAACAGAATCTTTAAGCTTTTAATTTAATCAACGACATCAATTTTCCCTTTATTATTTCCACTTTTTGTGTCTAAAGAAATCTAACTGTACACAGAAGTCTTAATGATATTCTCTTATACGTTCTTTTAGAAACTTTATCATTTTTCTGTCCACGTTAGCCTTTAACCCATCTGGAATTTACTTTTTTGTATGGTTTGAGGTGGAGAATAAACATCCTACATCGAATAGTACTCTGCCTTACTTATAGATCTGCAGTGTTCACTCTATCACATAGAAAGTTCTGGATATATGTGGGTCTGTTTCTGGCCTCTCCAATTTACTCTGTTGGTCTTCTTATATATCCTTTAAGTCAACAACCTTCTGTACTGAGTAGTATAGCTTTGTAATAACTGGTAGAGCAGGTCCTCATACCTTCCCCTTCCTCCTCCTCTTCCTCCTTTTTCTTCTGGAGTGTCTTGTCTATTATTGACCCTCTGCTCTTCTATTACAATATAGAACCTTTCTAACAATGGGCATTAAATATCTCTCCATTTATGTAGGTAGTTTTTAATTATCATTTAATAAAGTTTTATAATTATCTCTACAAAGTCATATGAATCTTCTTCTTTTTTAACTATGGTAAATGATATATTTTAAAACTGCAATGTTTCTGTTTGTTGCAG